CATCTAGATTCTAGAATTTCTGCAGGAATACCAAAAATCTTATAGGAAATTAGAATAAATTATTTTCTTATAGGAAATTCCTATAATAATTTGGGACTGGACTTGAGAATTCTTATAGGAATTCTTCCTATTAAATTCTTATAGGAATTCCTGTAGAAAAAATTCCTATAGGAATTCCTATAGGAAAAATTCCTATAAGAATTTGGGACAAAATTCCTATAGGAATTTGGGACAAAATTCCTATAGGAATTTTTCCTATAGGAATTTTGTCCCAAATTCTTATAGGAATTTTTCCTATAAGAATTCCTATAGGAAATTTTCGTAAGGGTAATGTGTTCTATACTTTATCCGTCGTGATAACTTAACACTTTAAAATTCCCGGTACCAAAATGAGAACGGAAGTGAAAACATTGGTATCAGTATTGGAAGTTGAACTTAAACTCTCTACTGATCAGTCTGGGAGCCCCCTTCAGCCCTCCAGGAGGGCCCCCTATACTTTTTAAGTGAAGCGTGAAGGGCTTACTTTACTTAGCTGTGAAACGTGATCGGGCTCCCTATACGTTTTGCGTGAAGTGCTTATTTTACTTAGCTGTGAAACGTGATCGATGATTTTCTTAATCCATGACTCGTGACAAGGCAAAATATTTTTACGTGAAAGCATATTGTGAAGAGGTATAGGGGGCCCTCCTCCTGGGAAGCTCAATGGAATGTGCATTAATTTTATGTGGCTACATCACATGTGACCATATTGTGTTGTATAATGTAGGTCAGGCAAGGTTTGGATAAGGGTCAGGCATTATATAATTTAAAACTTATCTTATCACTACTAAAACATTGCTATTTTTATCATTAGCACCAGTTTCAAACTCTGCAGTCTGTGGTTGGCCAGGTATTAAAATTACCGCTAAATTCCAGCATGATTAAATAGTACATAATTTTTCAACCTTTAAGCTTTAACCGTTATACAGAATTATATCTTACCAGATTTATACCAAGGTTAACTGGTCACTTTAGAATTCAATTCTATGAAGAATCTTTCGTTTGACTTCTTTCTTCGACCTCGCACAAATCTGAAAATCTGAAATACGAAACTTTGTACTCCTATCTTTCAGACACAATATTTTAGGCACAGCTTTAGGCGCCACTTTCGTCTGCACATGCGCAGGGAGAAACAAGCGTGGAGTACACGCGAGTGCCGTGGGGATTCTCGCATGGGGATTCTCGCGAGTACCGTGGGGATTCTCGTTTACCATGATAGTTAATTAACTTATTAATAAAGGACCGGTAATTAATAATGGAGGGAGGAGGGGCGGTGGGTGGCAAAAGAGGGCGGCTTCAACTACTTTTGCCTGAATTGGGGGGGGGGGGTAGGGACGGCCTCAAACTGAAATATGTGTGACAAGGGACGACCCCAATTTTTTAATACTTTCCTATGCATATCACCATGAAAGTAGTTGAAAAAAGTTTTGCGAATCTTACCTGAAAGAATTTATAGTCTTTCTTGTCTTTCTTTGTAGTGAAGTGCTGCTTCCCCAAGTGAAGCAAACCCGCAGCCTTCCTCCGCTTTGTAAAACAAGAAATGTGCGAGGTAAATATCAAGATTTTTTATTTTTAGCTGAAAAACAACAGAAAATTTAAAATATTTATTATATTCGTGCAAAGACCAGACAGATTAAGGACATCGTCGGAAGCTTAGGATTGCGGTTGGACAGTGACAGTTACCATGGAAATTTCGGAAGTGTTGTCATGGAAATGGCGTAACATCCGAGTATACAGTATAGAGTCCCTTTTCAGAAGTTAACACCTTCGTAACTTCGTTCACCATACTTACCCGTTTGGATGGTGAGGTGTTAGCCTGGGTGACCGAGGGGTGTCCTGGGACGACTACTGGCACTACTGTTACTTGGACTCGGGTTAAGATCCATGCCAGTGGTATCTTGAGCAGACCACCCCCGCAGGGCCAACACCTTCACACCAATTTACAATTGGTGGGTATATGAAAAACACGAGAAAAATCTTTGTTCCTGATACGTTTTCTATGTTTCTATCGCACACTGATTACTAATACCACCAATGCACGGCCAAGCTCTTATTACATTCACGCCCGGACCACTTTTCGGTCACGTGATGTGCTGAGTCTTCTGACGTAACGAGGCTTGGTTCCCTAGCTGTTAACTTTTGTTATTGCATAACCTCATTAAACGATTGTATTAAAGTCTTTGGCATGTCGTTCATTCGATTGACGTCACACTTGCCATGAGGAGAAAAGTCGCTGACAGAATTACTTGTGTGAACCAGGCTTTACCCAACTCATTTAGAGAAACTATATGAGCTTCACAGAAATTATAATATACGTTTTAACTGAGCGTGTAAATTGTATTCTCTTTCTAGTTAATACCTTTCTTCCATCCATTTACATCTCCCCTTCACGCAAGTACCCTCAAAATCAAAGATAGCGGTTACAATGCACTCAGAAATGAATATGTACTATTTAAAGCACGCGTAGGAGTGTTTTATCACATATAAAACACGACGCGTAGCGGAGTGTTTTATATGTGATAAAACACGACTACAAGTGCTTTAAATATTATACGAGTTCATTGGCGAAGTCACTTTTAAAATAAACTTTGTCTAAACCGAGAAAATCAAAGCTAAAGTTTATGTAAATTAAAATGATTTTTTATCACATATAAAACCACGACACGCTTATGATTTTTCTTTGTGTTTTGCTCCTGAATTATGAATGAGTTTTTGAAATTTAGATAAACTGCTGGTATTCAGTTCTTGAAGCCAAAATCTGACTCCCGGGTTTCTGGGGCTCTAGACCTGCGTGTTTATGCCTTGCGATTCATTTGCGAGATCAGTTGATTTCAGGGAACGAGCATGTCGTTTTAATAAGATAGAAACTAAAAGTAAAGTTTCTGGGGCTCTAGGCCTGCGTGTTTATGCCTTGCGATTCATTTGCGAGATCAGTTGATTTCAGGGAACGAGCATGTCGTTTTAATAAGATAGAAACTAAAAGTAAAGTCTCGAATGCAAAGAATAAATGCATTAGTAGAAAGTTTTGATTGCCGTGTAAGAACATTTTTGGTAAATTTTAAGTCAATCGTTTTTCAAGAATACATATTTATGTTGACGCATTGACCGTGCTCTTCTTCGTATACGTGAAAAGACTGGGAATGGTCTTCAAGTTTGACTTCAAATATCCGGTTGGAGGTAGCGTTTCCTGTTATATTCAATTCACTGGCTTTTACTGGCTCTTTCAATCCTCATTCCGTCGTAAACAGACCCCAATCTGTGATTTTATAAATATGAACAACAATTGTGGACTTGCATCAAACAGTTTTAATTCAAACCTAGCACACAGCAAGTTTCAAACTGCAGTCTAATTAGAAAACAAAAAAATTGGAAATCATTTATAGGTTAACCAAAAACATTTTAATCAAAGAGTTTTTGAATGCATCAGCCAACGATTTCTATTTAATAATCTTACTATAACATTTGAAGGTTCAGACAACAGCACAAATAAAGTCCTAGATCAAGTCCTGCCTGAAAATGGGCGTGAGCGTTGAAATTTCTAAAATCTTAATGCGCATGTTACACGCAACAATTGGCACTGATTAAGTGTGGTCTGGATATTTACAATATTTGGAATTCTACAATGAAATATACTACAATTATAGCAAGGTAACACGCAGTTTGTCTTGTTTTACTAGACAAACTCGACTCCTCTGCTCCCTGTGCATATAATTAGAAACAATATTTTACAATTTACTGTAGTTCTTGAAATGATATGAAACTAGTATATTTTAGAAAAAAATTGTATTGTAAAATTTACAACGTCAACCATTAAATACAAAATACCATAAAATTACTGACGCTGCAATATTCTTAGCAGTCTTATTAATTAAAGAGTCATTGTCAACCGCAATGCATTCGTTTACATCTCACGTTCGGAAGTGACGAATAGCAGCAAATGGGATGATAAACATTTCTTTGGTGCAATTTTAGCATAATGAATTAAAATGAGCAAGTATAATATATTATGGATTGAAAACCGAAACATCTATTATTCCGCCATTAAAATGGCCGCCAAGCAGATTTGGGCGCACAATGCATTGTGGTTAACAATGACTCTTTCATTAAACCCTATAGAACTCAAACACATTGGAGAAAACCGTTTAAATGTACCTAACGATATAGATTATATTTGTTAGAACAAAACTAGCTTTCGTTGCTAGGGATGCAACTAGTGCCTGAAAAATACAAGGATAAATTCGACGTGTCGAGCGAAGAAACTTCGACTTCGTCGGGAATCGAAGTTGGAAGTCAAAATGACAGTGTCATATATGTGACAAAAAATTGACAATAATGTTAAGAATATATTAATACAAATATGCACAAAATTACAACAGAGTGACAGGCAATGACAAATAAAGTTAAACATTAACAAACGTTTTTCTGATGTTTTTTAATCTTTCTGTCCTTGTCTGTCCAATGCTAACCTCGTACCCAGGGCTAGCCGCGAATTGAAGGCAGCGACGTAGCCTTTGTAAACGCTGGTCACGTGTCAGGCAAATACTCCAATATTCTTGGAGTTATGGAGTATTAGCCTGCGAGCGGGCTTTATGGAAATAAAGACAGGGGGGGGGCGACGAAAAGTCCACGAATGGAATTGCCGCGGTTATTTATTTTCTATATTTTTTTTGTAATATTTCTTTTTTAATACATTATACGTTTGTATATTACGTCGAATGTACATCAATCTTCTTATCTTCTTTACATCGCATCATATAAATCGCCGAGGAAACGATGACGCGATATTTCGAAGGACAATGAAGCCAACCTCGTACGTACCAATTGTGATGATTTCCATTAAGTAAAAGGTACAGTATGAATTTGAAAATTTCTAGAGGTATTTTATTCTTACAAATTATCTAGCACATTCCCATGAGTTTATTTAACACTCTTGCGAATATCGCAATGGCGGCAATGCATGCGATTGCCTTTTAATTTGTTACAGTACTAGCTCTATAAATACCCTTGTAGAATCAAACACTATTTAATTGCTATTTAATTCCTATTTTGTTGGGCTATTTAATTCCTATTTGTCAAAGTATTTATTTCCTATCTTTACTATTATTTTTTTTTGAGGTTTTTCCTATTTAAATTAGGGTAGAAAGGCTATTTTTTTCCTTTCCAAGTGGAACCATATTTTTTTCCTATTCATGATATATTTCTAAACAAATACTTAATTGATGTACTCGAATAGAAATTTTAAAAATAGGTTTCAAAT